TCATTACCTCTCACAGAGATCACAGTGCTCCCTGACTATACCTTCATCTGCTTGTCTCTCCAGAAGGACATCACCATCTATGTTCAGGCATCATCCAGGGTCACTATCTACGCCCAGGACTGATATGTTGGCTCAGAGATGACACAATCATGCAAATCCTGGTGCCTGTGCAGTTCTTGGCAACATTCACATATGCCTGACACAGATCAGCCTCTGCCGCAGCCTCTCACCTTCTGACTTGTTACACTGGTCTGATCACTGGGGGAGGGGAGACTGAGGAAATGCTTCCTCCTGCCTGCAGTAGACTGATGACATCATCTAAGTCTAGGCAAAGTTGCAAACTGGAGCTCAGGGATGGATTTCAATGATACCAAATGATGGTGTTTACTGTGACGGTCACTAACCCATCCATGCTGTCTTATAGAGTTACTGAGAGGTCTACATCAAGGATTGGGTTTAGGAAGCAGATTACAGTCTCGGGGTTTTGATGTGATAACCAGTTTTTGTCAATGAATTGTAAATTTCACTGGTGCTAAGAACACCTAACAGAGGTAATGAGAACATAAATAAACACTTTTATACTCATCTTCTGGTCTTGTGTTATCTTTTAACCCCTCGCAGGCTGGCCCCTGCACATGTATGACCAGTCCACTCCCCTATCATGGAAGTACCAGTATGTCCTCGGAGGACTGAGCTCCTGCACACTGGCAGCCCTGTTACCGTACTGTGATTGGACAGAGTGGATCACAGGAAAAAGGTACAGAGCCAATGAGAGTTGCTCTGTACCATGTGATCACTGTGACCAATCACAGCATCACAGAATGCAAACACAGACTGCAGCTACCAGCAGTGTGTCACTTATTGGCCGGTGATCAGGAAGCCCTTATACAATGATCAGAAAGAAAGTCTCCTGACCACCAGCCAGCACCAGTGCAATCCAGTAAGAATATCAACAGTATAAAAATCCACCCCCTAATGTCATCCACCCCCTAATGTCATCCACCCCCTAATGTCATCCACCCCCTAATGTCATCCACCCCTCTACAGTAGACATCAGCTCCATCCTCTGATCTGACCTGTATATTAACCCCTTACCTCCCTTATGCTGCACATACTCTTTCACCTCCATCCCGCACTGTATGTGACCTGCACGGTAACCCCTTCACCTCCTCCTCCATCTGTACATGTATGTACAGAAAATACCTGCTGATCCTGGCAGAAATACACTCAGCTCCTAATGTCCTGTTGTGAGCTGACAATGAATCTCCTGGACAGCATCTTATGACGCCCCGTGAGGACGTCGGATGACAAAACTAGTAGGGCGGGGCTTCTTTTGGATGTGACATCAGGACGCTCCTCGTAGACTGTCGGCTGTGATATCGCGGTGAGCGAGGCTCGTCCCTGTTTTCTTGAGGCTGTCATTGCTGGTGTCGGCTGGGACACCCTGTTTGTGAGTGCATTTCTGACGTTTTAATAACACATGTTGGTTTTAAACGTTCTGCACCATGATTTCCTTTTTTGATTCCCCGAATATGATCTATGGTATGGAGACGTGATGACTACCTGCTGTTGAGGCTCTTCCATATTGTGCTGATTGGCTGCTTGCAGTATATTGAAACGTATATATATACTTGTGAGCTACTATGATGAGAATCTAAGATATTCCAATTGATTGTGACAAACAAAAATGTAATCCACCTGCGGTTCGCTGGCACTCACACCAACTCATTAAACAGTGTTCTGTGACTAAAAAATAAAATGTATTGATAGTGCCGCCCTCCTATATAAATTATCTGTAATAGTGTTATGATATCCAAATCAGACAAAACAAATAAAAGAAATGCCCGTAGCGAAATAAAGAAGAAATAGCGCAGGGCATACATGACTAGGTCCAGAGTGGGGGAAGGAAGAGCAGAAAGGGTTATAAGGTAGCTCCAGGGGGATTTGTTATTGTTAGTGGGGGGTAGCTGATTGGTAGAGGTTGGTGTAGGTGGGGTTTTGCTGCACCTTAGGGTGGGAGGTTCTGTGAGGGGGCGTCAGTTAGCTGGACGGCAAGAGTGTGAGCTTCCCTCCCGCCCTCCCTGTTTGGGTGAGTTTTGGGTCCCTCCAGGTAGAGGGGGGGATTAGGTTGGTTCATGGACGTTTTGTTGGTCTTTGGAGGCGGTTCTTATTTGGACGGTAAAACAACAATGGTGTGGGACCCATCCGTGGTATGGGATGCCCGGGGGACATTCCCAGTTAACCAAGGTTTAACTGGAAGGTGGTGGTGCTGCACTGCGGACGGTATGGTTGTCTCCGAGCTGGTTGGTTGCGGCTGGAGGCCTAGTGTATATGGTTGTCCGCAGGTGCATTTCGGATCGTTTTTGGGGTGCCTTCGAAGACCAACAACAATTCTGTGGGTTTCTGTTATAAGGAATGGTTGGTGTAATTGTAACTTGAGTTGTTAATAAAAGGCCATGTTGGCCATTTACTCCAAAATTGGTGTTATTGTCTTTTGTTAGGATAATTGGTTAAGGGGAAGGGGGTTGGTGCGGAACGGTAATGGTGGTAATGGGGAAGTGGACGAGCCTATCTCTGGTGCAATAGTCATGAAAATTAAAACAATAAAATATGACATATAAAATATAATATATGATGCAGGAATTGATCATCTATTGCCTATAACATCATATAAAATGAATAGACCATAACTGTGCTTGTGATCATAAGTGAAATCTAATGGTGAGCAAAAATCAATAAATATATACACATAAAAAAGTCCTCTTCCAATGTGAACTGCAATGGTGAAATACTACTCCCACAATCCAAGTGCAGTGTGGTCCTAATATGCGCTCACCTTAAGTTTTGCCTAAAAAAAATGGGCAAAACTGGCTTTTTGTCCTTACAGGACTGATGAGATAATCCTCCTATATGAGGTTTCCCCGAATGGCAAATAAATGGTTGTAATTGGATCTTAATCCACCTGGAGTCTCTGCAGTGAATGTGACTGATGCTTGTCAGGAATGGATGGATGGATAGATATCTCCATTTTTCCCCTCCAGGGGTCTCCTTCCTCCTGTATCAATCTCTCTCCCGTGTATCACGGATGGATAACATAAGGGAAAAAAAAACCGTGGTGCCTTATCCTTTTTAAAGATGTATTTTATTACTGCTGGATATACCACTCACATTGATTACGTTTGCAGCAAGTAGAAAAAATGTCAGCATGGCCTGCAGTCTCTGCTATACTCGCCCTGCTTATCCGAGACAACGTCGTGACGTCAGAGCCCCTCCCCTACGCGTTGCGTCACCGGGTCACGTGACTTCATCAGGGGGAAACGATTGGACATCACAACTCTCATATCAGTATATATATATATATATGACGGCCGCCATTTTATTGAAGTCCGCATGCGCGCGGCCATATTCTTGGGGTCTGATGTGTGTTATGCTTCACCCAGACTCTAACAGATAGAGCTGTTAATGGTAAGTGTTTTAACCCTCTGTTGTCAGACGTTGGTAAGCGGATAAGCCGTGCATCACATCACTTGGGTCATGCTTAATCATAGTATACATCTTGTACAGTATAAATATCAAACCTAACATCAAACTATGACATCATGTTTAACCATACACACCTAAAACCTTTATTACACAAATGTAATTACTGATTAACATAGAATTATTATCTATATTCCTGATCATATTATATAACCCAAAACTTTAATATATATAATAATAAAAACAGATAAAATCATAATAAATAAATCATGAGACTGCAGAAATCTAAATAAAGGTAATTCTAAAATATGTGGGTATCTAATGTTCCTATAATCTGCCACCTAAATAAATAGTATGTGGATTCCCTCAGCTCTCCTGGTAGCGGATCCTATTATCCACTACCTCTTAATAGAAAAATATTTTTATTTATATTTAAAACCCAGATTATATATAATCTGGGTTTTAAATATATAAATAAAAATATATTCGGTGGTGGATTTTTTTGCACGGTGTTTGATTTATACAAGATTTCAGAACTGTTTAATTACTTTGTTATGGTGGATGGACTTTTATAAAAAAAAAACATTTTCTATCACGGACATCATTTATTTTAACTAATAATTTTTCTATTTACCTATATTTAGCGCACTCTTTTGATTTATTCACATTTTTACCTTATTTTTTGGTTAGGAGTGCAGCTTTTGTTCTATTTAGTTTGTGGCGCTGTTTTTTTTCTCTATTTCTCATATTATATAAGATGTCACTTCTGACATCATTGCTTACTACGTGTGAAATCTGTGAATGATCACAGAGGTCACATGGTACAGGGCTATTCACAACAGCCTTGTACCATGTGACAAGCTGTGACCAATCACAGCTCACACAGTATTTCTCAATGGCTGCAAGAATGCAGCCAGAGAGAAGGAGAAATGATTGCTTTTACAGCCTTTATGGGTGTAAAAGCAATCAGTGTAAAAAAAAAAAAAATCTTCATCACCCCCCACAGGTAGTACAGTGTCATCATGGTGACACTGTACTGCTAGGGTGACAGTATGTAAAAAAAAAAAATAATAATAATAATATTAAAAAAGTTTAAATTTTATTTTTTTTAAATGTTTAAAAATTATAATTTTTGGTTATAAACTAATTTGGGTTTTTTTTTTTTTTACAAAAAATATAACGGAATAAATTTTGGACAAGATTTATGATGAAAGAATATTTATTTGCAAAATTTTATAAGAAAAACTCTTTTTTCAAAATTTTGGGACTTTTTAATTTACATAACAAAAAAAATTAAAATCCCAGTGGTGAATAAATACCACCAAAATAGAGCTTTATCTGTCTCAAAAAACTGCTAAAAAATTCATATGGGTACAGTGTTGCATGACCGCGCAATTGTCATTCAAAGTGTGATAGCGCTGAAAGCTGAAAATTGCCCTGGACAGGAAGGGGGTGAAAGTGTCCGGACTGGAAGGGGGGGAAAGTGTCCGGACTAGAAGTGGGGGAAAGTGTCCAGACTGGAAGGGGGTGAAAGTGTCCGGACTGGAAGGGGGGGAAAGTGTCCGGACTGGAAGGGGGTTAAAGTGTCCGGACTGGAAGTGGGGGAAAGTGTCCGGACTGTAAGGGGGTTGAAAGTGTCCGGACTGGAAGGGGGGGGAAGTGTCCGGACTAGAAGTGGGGGAAAGTGTCCAGACTGGAAGGGGGGAAAGTGTCCGGACTGGAAGTGGGTTAAAGTGTCCGGACTGGAAGTGGGGGAAAGTGTCCGGACTGGAAGGGGGTGAAAGTGTCTGACTGGAAGGGGGGAAAGTGTCCAGACTGGAAGGGGGTGAAAGTGTCCGGACTGGAAAGGGGGTGAAAGTGTCCGGACTGGAAGGGGGTGAAAGCGTCCCGGACTGGAAGGGGGTGAAAGTGTCTAGACTGGAAGGGGGTGAAAGTGTCCGGACTGGAAGGGGGTGAAAGTGTCCGGACTGGAAGGGGGGGAAGTGTCCGGACTGGAAGGGGGGTGAAAGTGTCTGGACTGGAAGGGGGTGAAAGTGTCCGGACTGGAAGGGGGTAAAAGTGTCCGGACTGGAAGGGGGGGAAGTGTCCGGACTGGAAGGGGGGTGAAAGTGTCCGGACTGGAAGGGAGGGGGAAAGTGTCCGGACTGGAAGGGGGGGGAAAGTGTCCGGACTGGAAGGGGGGGGGAAGTGTCTGGACAGGAATTGGTTAAAATCATATATAAAAAAAAAAATAGCCATGTGAAAATATTGTATATGGGAGAGGCAAAAACATTTCAGTTGTACGCACTGATCTTTCTGGTAACAATCATCCATGAACGTTTTTTTTTTCTATGGACGCTCATTAATTGAAAGTTCTTACACAAACGTTTGGGCTGCTATCTTGTGTGTACTCTGAACCTTGGCTGCCAGTTATAAACATGGAACTGATGGCAGGTATCATTTACTGGAAACCCAACCCTTCCCAGAAAGGAGAATCACTTTCACTTTCACTTTCACGTCTCTCCTGTAATTTCTCTAGCTGTCTCCAGGCTGGATTTACACTTTGGGGATGCAGGCATTTTGCTGTAGCACACTATTTTTTTCTCTTTTTTTAAAGTAAATGAACTCTTCAAGTGAACATTTTGTGTATTTACCTGTAGATGGGTTAACCGACCAAACCTGCAACGTAGGAGCACTCCCTTAGGAGTCACTGAAATTTGGGGTCCCCCTGTAGTCCTGCACAGTCAGGCAACACGTATTTTCTCAGACTTGCATTCTGGAGACAGTTTTGGGTTTATTAAGGATATTGAACTTGGATGGGGTAAGGAGTGCATGGGATGCCCAAAGAAAATGTGACTGAGGACAAATTCTTAGCAAATATGTACAAATCGTGTTACAGCAAACTCTTCTGGGAGATCTCCAGCCTCTCCTGGTGTACCACCCCAGACCCCAGATGAATCCTCTTCTCATCCAGCTGTCTGAAGGAAATTCCTGGGCAAGGTGATCCAACGCTGCCACTTTAACCATTTCAATATCGGGCAATTTTACACCTTCCTGCCCAGGCCATTTTTAATGTTTCAGCGCTCTCACAATTTGAATGACAATTGCGCGGTCATACAACATTGTACCCAAACTAAAATTTTATCATTTTCTTCACACAACCAGAGCTCTCTTTTGGTGGTATTTAATCACCGTTGGGGGTTTTATTTTTTGCTAAATTAACAAAAAAAGACCAAAAAGTTTGAAAAAAAACACGTTTTTCTTTGTTTCTGTTATAAAAGTTTACAAATAAATTATGTTCTTCATAAATTTAGGCCGAGATGTATTCTGCTACATGTCTTTGGTGAAAATAACCCAAATTAGGATGTATTTTTTAGTTTGTAGGAAAGTTATAGAGTTCACAAACTATGGTATAGATCTGAATATTGATCAATTCTGAAGTACTGACGGCCAATCTAATTTCTTGAGGTCCAAGAATGTCAGGACAGTACAGTGTCCCCCAAATGACCCCTTTTTGCAGAGTAGACAGTCCGACGTACTTCATAAGAGGAATGGTGAGTTTTTTAAAGTTGTATTTTTTTTGTCATAATTTTCGGAAAATAAAAAAATTTAAAAAATTATTTTCACTATTCTTTTTTTACATTCTGTCACCAGTGCAGTACAGCGTAATCATATAACTGGCATGGCGGTGAACAGGGACACTGACTGGTGACAGTATGAAAAAAAAAAATATATATATATATATATTTTTTTTTTTTTTTTATTATTATTTTTAATTTTTTATTACATTTTTTTATTTTTTTTTAAGATTTTCTTTTCATATTGTACTATGACCAAAGTAGTACAATGTTACCATAGTAACATTGTACTACTTTGGGGAAGTGATCAGTATTTTTTTTTTTTTTACACAATTTGCTTATAGCAAAGAATTACTTTGCTATAAGCAAGCATTTACCTGAATGAAATCGATTCATTCAGGTTTTTTTTTTTTTGTGCTTAGCTGTGATTTGGTCACAGCTAATCACATGACATGTGCATGTGATTAGCTGTGACTAGAGATGAGCGAAGTATTCAAAAATTCGATTTTGACTGATTCGGCGAATTCGTGGAAAAAATTTGATTCGAGTCGAATATATTCGCTGTGAATTTAACTTAAAAAAAGGGTGTTTCTAGGCTTCAGAGAGACTTTATATTAGTGCAGAACACTGTACCTTTAATTTAAATGCCCTTGGAGTCTGCTGGGGAAGAGAAATAATACTGTCAGTCAGTATGACATGCAAATGAGTGCCGTCCATCTTAGAATCACCGCACCACTTCACCTCATTTGGGCAGTCACGGGGCCAAAACCCAGTGTTTGGAGCCACAGTGTGGCGGTGGTGGAGGCAGCAGCAATGGGAGGGCCATACAACACCCTATGACAAAAATGGAAACCAGCAGGAGTGTGTGAGGAGACCCTGAAAGTGGCACATGGCAGAGTGTGGCGATGGAGACAGCAGCAATGGGAGGCGGTACAGGGACCCATGACACACTGTGGACCTAGCAGCAGCGTGACGAGGCGGTACGGGGGCCCATGGCAGATTTGGGGCCTGGCAGCACCTATGGGAGGCCTGTAATCTGCCAGCAACCTATGACAAAATGGAAATCCAGGAGGAGTGTGAGGAGGACCTGAAAGTGGCACATGGCAGAGTGTGGCGATGGAGACAGCAGCAATGGGAGGCGGTACAGGGACCCATGACACACTGTGGACCCAGCAGCAGCGTGACGAGGCGGTACGGTGGCCCTGGCAGATTTGGGGCCTGGCAGCACCTATGGGAGGCCTGTAATCTGCCAGCAACCTATGACAAAATGGAAACCAGCAGGAGTGTGAGGAGACCTGAAAGTGGCACATGGCAGAGTGTGGCAATGGAGACAGCAGCAATGGGAGGCGGTACAAGGGACCCATGACACACTGTGGACCCAGCAGCAGCGTGACGAGGTGGTACCGGGGGCCCATGGCAGATTTGGGGCCTGGCAGCACCTATGGGAGGCCTGTAATCTGCCAGCAACCAATGACAAAATGGAAACCAGCAGGAGTGTGAGAGGAGACCTGAAAGTGGCACATGGCAGAGTGTGGCGATGGAGACAGCAGCAATGGGAGGGCAATGGTACAGGGACCCATGACACACCTGTGGACCCCAGCAGGGCAGCGTGACCAGGCGGTACGGGGGCCCTGGCAGATTAGGGGCCTGGCAGCACCTATGGGAGGCCTGTAATCTGCCAGCAACCTATGACAAAATGGAAACCAGCAGGAGTGTGAGTGGGAGACCTGAAAGTGGCACATGGCAGAGTGTGGCAATGGAGACAGCAGCAATGGGAGGCGGTACAGGGACCCCATGACACACTGTGTGGACCCAGTCAGCAGCGTGACGAGGGGTACGGGGGCCCATGGCAGATTTGGGGCCTGGCAGCACCTATGGGAGGCCTGTAATCTGCCAGCAACCTATGACAAAATGGAAACCAGCAGGAGTGTGAGGAGACCTGAAAGTGGCACATGGCAGAGTGTGGCGATGGAGACAGCAGCAATGGGAGGCGGGTACAGGGGACCCATGACACACTGTGGACCAGCAGCAGCGTGACGAGGCGGTACGGGGGCCCATGGCAGATTTTGGGCCTGGCAGCACCTATGGGAGGCCTGTAATCTGCCAGCAACCTATGACAAAATGGAAACCAGCAGGAGTGTGAGGAGACCTGAAAGTGGCACAACTGGCAGAGTGTGTAGAGGCGAGGAGAGCATGGGAAGCAATGGGAGGACAGGTACAGGGACCCATTGAAACTCGGCTGTCGGACCCACTCCCACTCGCAGCATCCCTTATGATCGAGGCAGGTACGGGGGCCCACCCATGGCAAGATTTGGCAGGATGAGGAGGCCTGTAATCTGCCAGCAACCTATGACAAAATGGAAAACAAAGCAGGAGTGTGTGAGGAGACCTGACAGGGCACATGGCAGAGTGTGGCGATGGAGGACAGCACAAATGGGAGGTTGGTACAGGGACCCCATGACACACTTGTGGGACCCCAGCAGCAGCGTGACGAGGCGAGGTACGGGGGCCCATGGCAGATTTGGGGCCTGGCAGGACCTATGGGAGGCCTGTAATCTGCCAGCAACCTATGACAAAATGGAAACCAGCAGGGTGTGAGAGAGACCTGAAAGTGGCACATGGCAGAGTGTGGCGATGGAGACAGCAGCAATGGGAGGCCGTACAGGGACCCATGACACACTGTGGACCCAGCAGCAGCGTGACGAGGCGGTACAGGGGCCCATGGCAGATTAGGGGCCTGCAGCGCCTATGGGAGGCTGTAATCTGCCAAGCAATCCTATGACAAAATGAAACTTCACCAGCATGTGTGAGGAGACCTGAAAAGTGGCACACTTGGCAGGACACACTGTGGGACCTTGCAGCAGCGTGAGGAGGGTACAGGGGGGGGGCCCATGGCAGATTGCCGCAGCAATGTGAGGACCGTAAATACTGCCCAGCCACTATGACAAAATGGAACCCAGCAGCAGTGTGAGGAGACCTGAAAGCGGGCACATGGCAGAGTGTGTGCGTTGGGAGACAGCAGCAATGCGGATGAGGCAGTACAGGGACCCATGAACACTGTGGACCTATGCAGCAGCGTGAGGAGGCGGTACAGGGGCCCATGGCAGATTGTGAGGGCCTGGCCGCAGCAATGTGAGGCACGTAATCTGCCAGCATCCTATGACAAAATGAAACACACCAGCAGTGTGAGGAGACCTGAAAGTGGCACATGGCATGACACACTGTGGACCTTGCAGCAGGACAGGAGATGCGCGATAACAGGGGCCCATGCAGACTAGGGGGGCTGGCTAGCAGCTATGGGAGGCCCCGTAATCTGCCAGCAACCCTTATGACAAAAAATGGCAACCCCGAGCAGCAGTGTGCGGAGACGCTGAAAGTGGCACATGTTTGTGGCATGATTCTTGGCGGATTTTAGTCAGTTTGTGTCAGGAACTGGTGGTTTTGAAATCCAGACTAATCCACGCCCTGATTCATTTTCACAAACGGTGAGTCTCTTCCACTCTTTGGGTGGACAGTCGTGTCCCTTCCGACAGGAGTAACAATACCTTCCTGCACACGCACTCCACGCTCTCTCTCACTCAGCGCACGCGTGACGCGATGCTCACGCTACTCTGGCCGGGCATGACAGCCTTTCAAGGGCAAATTCAGCTAGGTTGGGGCCAAAGGTCAAAGTCTTTGTTGCCACCAGCTAGGTCAAGGGGATTTGTCTACCTCGGGTTGGCAGGGTTGCATGTCCAAGTAGGCCCAAGCCATGTTGTTTGAAGTTCCTAGCTCCAGTGTCCATACCTGATGCCTGCTCGCTGCGGTCTGGTTAGTAGTTTCCTCACTGCGCTGGTGAAAGAGAAGCTTACTCATCATCGACTGCAGACATGAGGCAGCCGCGGCATAGTGGAGCTGCCACTGCTCCTTACCACCCCACCCCTCACACTGCCTGCCATGGCAGCCGGAACGCGAGGATGCGCACCAGGGCCCACTGTGTCTTGTAGGATGGGACGGTGGTCGCAGAAAGGCAGGAGACCAACTGACTTACCATAGTGTGGTTTTTATAGTACGTAATTTTTTGGCCTCCCTCCTCTTAGGCAGGTGTGAAAAAGGCCACCTATGTTGGAACGGTAAGCGAAGGGTCCAACAAGTTGGACAGCCAAAAATTCATCCCCACAGTCGGATGGTTATTATTCGGCCTGTCCCGCTTACGCAAGCAACCGAGCATGCTATGGGGCCATTTGTGCCAAGGAATTGCAGAGGACTTCCCCTGCCTCCATCTCCACAGCATAACTGCCACGGTGCGTTCTGGGTCCTCTGTCTCATCCTCCTCCTCCTCTATCCCAGATGCTCCTGCTCCCTCCACTCCTGTCCGCTGAGTGGAAAAAACCACCCATGTTCCATTCAATAATTCGCTGAGCACAAATGTCCTCCCACCACCTCTCCTCTTCTTTCCTGTCCTGCCCCACAGGGTTCATGTGGCGTTGAGATCTTGTGCGCCCACGTCATACCGCACACTGACCAGCCTTTGTTAAACCAGCATTTGTTTCCAGGACGTGCAACAGAGGACTGAGACAGTCGTTTCATCCCATAGTCCTGCCGGACTCAACGAATAGCGTGGCCGTCACTCCAAAGGGCCTGAGCAAGCGGCAGGTGTCCACGCATGAGCTGCCAATGGGGCTGACATCTAAGTTACACAGGGGAGTACCTTTATTCGCTCTGTAACACATCAGGAAATCGGTGAATGGCCTTTCGCTGCTCGTAAAGGCGGTCTAACTGTGTAGGTCTGAATTCCACCTTGTTGCAACGTCGCAGATCAGGCATGCATGGTGTGGAAATTCCGTGTCTGCCGCTGCAGCTCAAGGAGGGTGTGCTTTGCGTTGTAGGAATGGCATGAAATGCATGCAAAGTTTACGTGACATTTTAAGGATGTCTTGCAGGTGGGATGGTGGATTTTAGGAACCGCTTGGACAACCAGATTGAACACGTGGAGGCCATGCATGGCGCATGCAACACAAAACCTTCCTTGACGCAGAGCAAGACATCCATGTTCTTTCCGTTGTCGGTCAACATGGTTCCGATTTTCAGTTTGCGCGGAAGGCACAGCCATCTGTCGATTTCTCTGTTCATTACACTCAGGGAAGATTCCTCCCCTGTGGTGACTACGTTCGCCAAGGCATACCAGGTGCAGCACAGCGTGACACCGTTGCCCCTGCACATGTGATATGCCGGTCGGGTAATGGGACTTGGCACTGGGGGGTGGCGGCTGAGGACACGGCAAAGAAGAGGTGGTAGAGGCGGACATGTTTGCTGGACAAGGAACGTGCAAACGTGGAGGACAAAAGCGTCGTGACTGTTCAAGTTGCTGTGTGCGGCTGTGCCGGCACCAGGTTCACCCAGTGGGCCGTAAATGACATGATACTGTCTCCTGACCGTAGTAGTTACAGCTCCATACGTCGGCGCTGCCGTTCACTTGGCAGAGACCGACATGCTCAAAGGACTGGCCCACCATCACTTCTACATGTGAATGCAGGGGCTGGCATTGCCTTTTTTGCGAAAGAAATGCCGGCTTTGGCACCTCTCCACTTGCGGCGCGGCACAAGCCAATCATTTTCTCGGCAAAGGTGCTGAGATCCCCTCCCCCCCCCACCCACCACTTGGAAAAAGGAGGACTGCAGCACCAGCAACTTGGACAGGTGGACGTTCAGCTTTTGCACCGTCGGGTGCGTGGCTCGGCAAACTGTTGTCTCTTGGAAACGGATTCCAAAAAAGACTGCTGACGGAATCCTGTGAAGAGGAGAGTAGCCAGGTAGAAGGAGCTTTCTGAAACGAGCGGAAGATGCCAACGAGACGACAACATCCCTCAGCAGAGGTTGTTGGAGCCTTGAACTGGCTGATAGAGGGGCGATTGACTGTCGGTGACGAGCAAGTCAACGGAGCGGGTGATGGAGCGGCGGGCTGGGAGCAGGCAAAACCGCCCTATGTTTATCCGGTTTTCCCAGGCCACCAAATGGCGACGCGCATTGCTGCTGCAACCTGTAGTCCCAACAGGGCCCCCTGGGGCCCCGCTTGACT